AAGTCAAAAAAAAAAAAAAACGATTGGATGCGCTTATTCGTGCTAGAATAGTTCAGTCATTTGTTATCAGCGCTTTCTAACAACTAGCTCTCCAGAATGGGCATCCTGTATACTAAAAATCCGGTCCGGATTCATGTCCGTAACAGGCTTTATTTTTGAATAGTTGAAGTTGTCTTAGCAGACATGCATATTTTTTTGTCCGGTACCTTCAAGGGTGGTGTAGCAATGAAGATGCTTATATGTAGGCGTTTAATTTCTAGCCTACTGCAGAAAATGCTGCCAAAATGAAGTTTTTTTCTACTGGAACAGCTTAAACTCTTCTGTAGTGAAGCTTCATTCAGCTTCGACTCCGAATTTGTTTCTGCCCATTCAGGATGCCTATTCTGGAAAAACCGTGCGATCGTTAGAATGCTTCATGAATGAGCAGTTGAACGAAGTTAGTCCGAGGTTCGTCGGTAATGAGAGGGTGTCCTTTTGGTGATAAAAGAATTTTGACTGCAAGATAATGAATGCGACTAAGCACGGGGAAGAACTGGAAATTTTTACATAATGCAAATAATACTGCAAACCGCTGCATATTCCTACGAAGAAAAAAGTTAGTGCAGATTACTGCAGCTGAGCAGCTCATCTTGAGGCTTCCAAAGTAGCACAAGCTGGTTTTGGAATGAGTGCTCCGAATAGACCAAAGGTTTTCCGGAGCCGCAATAGCCTTATGTGAAAGCGAAAGCAACGCCAGAAGAAGACACGTATTTTGGAAAATATGCTCAGAATCCTTAACTTAGTTAACAAATTTAAGTAGGTCGCTCTCAGAGCTTTTTGATGACTTAAGTTGGTTCGGGAATGAACTCTCTTGACAGATGAAGAGCTTTCCGGGAACACAAAAAACACAAAACAGTGCAAGAGGAAGATGTGTATCTAGAAAATTGATTCAGAACCTTTAATTCAAACAACAAGTTTAAGTAGCTCGTCTTTAAGGCATCCCAATAAGTATAGGCTGGTTTCGGAATAAACTCTCTTAACAGATGAAAAAACTGGAACTGCAGTGGGTTTGCGTAGAGGCTGTAACGCATAATTCAAGAAACGACCAGTATTTCCAAGTAGAATTAGTTCAGTTCATTTGCTCATTTTTTAGAATTTTGATGAATACGCGGCCTTTCCAAAATGAGCACCGTTTATGGGCAGAAACAGATAAATTCTGTACGGATCTCGCGATATATTCTGTACGGATCTCCACTCTCAAAGAATTAGAATTTCTCTAGCAGACAGGCGCTTTTTTTTGCCGAGATCTCCATCGATAGGTTAGAAGTGAAAATGCCTGTATATATCGTAACTGCCATAGCAGGTGAATGCCTGAAGCACTTTTAAATCTGCGCTTATACCCTACAGTAACATTGTCCCTAAAAATGTCATCCCGTAGTAGGTCGACTCCGCAGATATCCCTGCTGCTATTGCAACTTTTAGTTGGTCAGTCCGTGAAGAGAATTTTCAACCAGTTTACCATTTTGTGACACGTCAGTGTCCGAAGTACTAGTAAATTCCCTAAGCCAAATAGACCATGACGATTTTTGGGGAAAAAGGCTGCAATTTTTTACGGTAGTGCTCCACACAGCGTTTACTTGTCGCTGAGGGAGCAGTTTTAAGTAGAAAAACCTAGATGCTGTGTTACCTTTATACTTGTATGCAGAAATCATACATTGATTTTTCAAGTCGTCGAACCAGCTTAATCTAAAACACTCGTGTTCGACGACAACCCTAATCGTCCAATAATTTTTTGAATCTTGCTCCTAGGCTCCAGAAAAGTCACAAGTAAGAATTCTTGCTTTGAAGCAAAACCCATTAACTCAATCTAGGCATTTTTACCAGCTAGATCCTTATAAAATTAGAAGCGCTTACCAGGAAGCTCCGAAAACCACATCAAAATTCCGAATCCCCATTTCTTGAAAACACAGCACACTGTTCTCATTTCCTTATTTGCTCCCTCATCTAAAGTCGAAAAGAAATGGCATAATTAAAAAAGCACCCGCTTTCAGAAAAACAACTTTTTATATTTTAGGCGCATAACATGACTTGTCAAAAACCATACAAACTAGAGAAGTACTGAGCAACTTCCCGCCGTTTCCAGATTGTGCAAGAAAAAAACCCTAAGATTTAAGCAGCTTTATTACAAGTTTTAAAAGAACAAGAAAAATTAAACATTTTCATCTGCACGAAGCATGAACACAAGCTTTCCTCGTAAGCAAAAAATTATGCTAATAGTGTTCCTTAACTTCGCAAACAGTTCTACCTCAAAACTGAAAGGAAGTTTACTGGAGAAAGTCTGCCGCTCGACCACTCATAATGTCCAGCATTCCCAGGCTAATTACCTACATTTAGAAATCTCACAGCAACTAGTATCACTTCATCCCTCAGCGAAACCAGCAAAGGAAAAATTTTTTTCCATTCTTCAGCAGAACTTTCGAAGATTAAATCTTTGAGGCACTTAAAGCAGGAGGAGGCTGAAGGCCTGGAAACAGCACTTTCGGAGCGTTATGGAGTGGGCCAGATGTCAGGCCAATTTGTCAAAAAATGGACTTTAAAAACCGTGAAAATAGGCAAAGTATTTAGGAACCGTCGCCTTAGTTGTTTAATTACCTGAATTTGAATTGGACGTGCGTGATCTAAAACATCTGTGGGCCGAGAAATTCTTTTTCCAGGAAGAATCATATGTATGAAACACCAGTACCACCAAATTTGATGTAATTAGCAGAATAACTGACTTTTTTTATGAATATCGCGCGCTTTTTGTAACTGTTATAACTAAAGAGGCAACGCTTTCGTAACAGAGGACGGCCTTGTCTTACGGGAAGTCGTCAGTCGCGAAGGGCTGTTTTATGATACCGAGAAACAATCCTTCCACTCTATCGTAATTATGCCACAATGTGAAGAAAATTTCGCTTCTAGAGGTTAATTATGTTGTAAAATTTGATGCTTCATCTGTCGCAGACCGAATGGCCTACGAAAACTGCAAAGAAAACGTGTACTCAACCGGAACAAACAAAAATATCTCCATACAATTACCCTCTGTAACGAGTTAACAGAGCCCGTACGGAACCTAGTTAACTGCCAGGAAAACGTCAAACAACTCGTTATCACCTTTCACTTCGTCGATGCTGAAGTTAAAGCAAAAACAGATAAAGCTTACAAAATCCCTATCTCACTCCTACTTCAATTCGTAATTGGTCCACGAAGTCGATTGAAAAATGATCTACCTCGTTGCTGTCTGCACAAGAGACCGCCTACCCACCATACAGATGTGACAAGAGCAACCAAATTTCTTAAACTAGTTTTCAACAGTAAACACTTCAAAGAATCATCTTGCTCAATTTGACCATTTGCACGTATTAGCCAGCATAAATATCAAAACAAATTGGCACAAAACTCGCATTAAGTCAAACTGTTACAAGCAGATGAATTGAACAAAGAACATGAAACGTGAACCCCGTAACAATCACAACAGGAAAAAACTGACTTAATTCAAATTAGCAATCTTACTATTCGTCTAATTTACGGAAGCAGGAAATATTCAGACAGAAAAAAATATAACTAATTTCCTAATCTTCACAAAATGCTTCCGGAAGAAAATGTAATACTTCACACAGGATATAACAGCATGACTACGGATCTTCGAAGCTACTGGCGGGGACCTAGAGTGAAACAACATATTTTCAAATATTCGCAAAACTGGCGACAAACCATTGTACTAAATAACAACAAGTTGCCGTAAGCATACATCTGAAAAATAAAACTAAGTTAGTTCAAAAAACTTCTTTAAAACCAATTTTGAAAGTAGCAAGAGCCAAACAGTTCAACGACCGAGCAATTACAATTATTAAAACTCGCAGTAAAGAAGACAGAAAAATGTCTCTTTCACATTTCCCAGTTTTGTCACACTGACGAAAAGGTTACCGTAGCAATGATCAATAAGTAAAGTTCATTGATGTAAAAGTCGTAATACTGATTAAGCATCATAGATATTGGCGACAAATAGATCCAGTCCCACAAACATAGTTCGCTTCTACTCATATGAGCTATTATCAGCCTAAATGCAGAAATGTGAAGCAACAGTTCTTGAAGAAAACTGTATGAAATTAAGATAAAACAGAGCTTTTTCTCTTAAAAATTGGTATTGAAAGGCACTAATGAATACAAATACCTTGGAAATTCATTCGCAATATGGCGTCAAAATAGCTTCTGAAAAAGGACTCAATTCTTTGCTTTCTTCTCTTAAGCTTTTTATCTATTTCCTCTTAATATTAAAATTCCAAATACTAAGTTTCGGACACCGACTTCTTTTAACCTTTGAAATTACAAAACTTTGGTCTCCACAAAGCCACCCAAAAACTTTAAAAAAATTGGTCTCTATGCGCATATTTTCCACTATAAATTAATCTTCTAGTTGTGGTTCGTTATCTTCTTCTACAGATCTTTCCTCATATATAGATGTCCCTATCCTTCATCAATGCTAGTGCGGATGAAATTTTTTACAAAGCTGATTAATTAGCGCTTAGCCAATAGAACAATTGAGAATGTCTCCGAAAAATTGAAACGATAAACCTTGCTTTGCACTACTAGGAATACTTTTTCTGAAAAAGGATCTCCAACACACTGTAAGATTAATAAAAACAGTGAATTCAGAAGCAAAAAAGCCTAATTACGACTCACTTAATCAAAAAAGTTGTTTTATTTAGCTACCCGTTCCCGTAAATTCGGAAAGTGCAGTAATAAACAATCTAGCGAAGTTCTACGTTTAAGCACTTTGATAAGAAATATGGTGATTGAGAAGCCTCTTTATGACCCACTGTGCGACCAAGAGACTTCCAATGTAACGAGGGTTTTGTAATATTACCTGTTAGTAGCTTTTGCTCCAACAGCACCAAAGCAAAGAACAAAAAGTGTGATGTTGTCATCATAGACACCAGATTGCGATTTATGATATATCATCCAAAAAGGTACCACAACCGCCAGTAGCGGACAAAGAGGGAAAAGAACCGAAGTATCCTTCAAGAAAAGATAAATACTATGAAAACGAAGAGTATTTAGAGATCAAAAGCATCTCCATAATCAACTCAGATTTGAAAACGTACAGCAACAGTAGACCCGTTTTTGCCAACACCGCCAGTGAAAATGACACCGAGATACCCCCCAATTTGCCAGAAACCCAGCAGCGCACTAAACAATAATAATAGTGTCTTCAAGTAAATCCCAAAAACCTGAAAAAAGCTCGTTAGAAATTTAAAAAGAACTATTATGTAACTGGGTAAAACAAGCAAACTTATACTGTAAGAGTCCATATTTCAGAACCAAGTAACGCAGTAATCGTAAGAGTAGCCATAATAATCATCTGGGCTTCTGTTACGTCAAACCTAAGAAACAGCTTTTGCAGGTTAATGATGCCAATCTTTTTGTTACAAAATGTAAAACTACCAAAAATAAATTGCAGTAAACTGTAAGTAATCAAATAATTAAAAAAATGAAAAAGGAAAAGTACTTTGAAAACTTCAGCTGGCCAGTACAGTAAGTGCCCCAGTGAGCGCAATAAAACAAAACAACAGCCAAGACACATACCGCTAGAACAGTGCAACTCTGTTGGCCAAGCTGCATGCAGTAACAAATATTTAGGGTAACAAAAACTGAAAGGAGTAAATCAGAAGTAAGAAGACCAGATCTGCCAATAACAAAGCTACTTCTTTTCAAGAGACGGAGATATCTTTCCTATAACTGCTTTTAGGAAGACCTTGGGTCATTGAGTCGCAGCCGTGATCAAACAATTCGCCCAAAGGAGAACTGGATGATAGCCGACGTGCCTGCTTACCGTCAGTAGCATCCAACGTCTGATAAACAAAAAGCCCTATAGCTGCTTGTATATAAGCCCACCAGGGAGCCTGCAAAGTAAAAAACCATGTTGAACTTTCCAAGAGATCTGATTCAAAAAACCAAACAATTACTGCCAGTGCAAACGAAAAGACGCAGATAATATTCAGGAGGACTAATCCTTCCAAAAAATATTCTCAGAAAACTACTTTACTTTTGATACAACAAAAAAAAAAGACTACTTTTTCCCTCGCAGAATAACAGTAGTAAGAAAGGACAAGCACAGTCGTAAGATTAATGAGAAGACCAATGAGTGTTATCAAATTTGGAGCCAGCCACAACGGATAAAACGTTACAACATAATTCCAAAACCTTAAACAATTTGGAGAAATAAAATGTGTAAAGTGGTGAAATCAAAATTATAAAGCCCATTTCTTGAACTGATACCACTGGGAAGATCCTAATTATTCCGTACTCAACTCCTGGAAGTGAATTTTAAAAATTAAAATCAAAAGGATATGGCCAAGACTTTTCGTGTAAAAACAGCAATATTACTACGTAAACTTTGAAGAATAGAATGATGGTAACCTTTTCATAAACAAATCGTCAAGCCATGACACATCTGAAGCGGAATATTTATGATTTCCAAGCCGTTCCATTTCAGCTGGAGTTAGTTGACAGTCACGTTCCAGGTAACCTTCCCAAGCAGAACGCATTGAATCGCCCACATATTCAAAAGCTCTCTTAGATAAGGGACATAAAATTCGAAACGAATACTTTCCAATCACTTTTGGCTCAGTTTTACGCTGATGAAATGACACAACAGACAAATTACATAAAAAAACGTTAAGCTACAGCAACAAAAAAGGGCGCAAAAAGCAAAAGCAACCTCCAAGCGATCAATACCAGGTATTCTTTCAATCAGACTATCTGGTTTATGTCGCTTCCGTTCACGAGTTCTTTCGTACGGTTCAAACTTAGAAGGACGTTTAGGCCTGACCCAACCTTTTTCATCGCTATTCACATAAACCTGAAAATAGCATCAAATTGAAGTTTAAATTGAAAAATCAAGACTTTCCAAGAAAACTAATAGTCTTCGCCTCTTCCTCATTTCTACTAATGTAAAAAGGCAGATAATTTAGCTGGTAAACGTGAATGGCTCACTTTACTGGTCTCAACAAGTGAACTGTTCAAAATATAGGTAGAAAACTCAAAATTCTGGCAGAAGGCCAAATATTAATATTATATTTTGAGAAATCGTCAAAGTAATTTGCAAAAAGAACTCCATTTTGGTGAATCCAAAGAGCTAATTATCAGGCAAAACTGTTTTAAATATCATCAACAAAAAAAAAAAGTTTTTTCAAAGAAACTTTCATTCCGCAACAAACTGCTAACTGTGAGAAAGACGCAGATTCTAGCTAACAGTTCCTCTAGACTTTAAAAACTATTTTCTTTTTGCAATTCTGACGACACAGAAACCTAGGACAGTTATTGTAAAAAACAGGTTACCTACACTGAGGAACATAGACATAATATAAAACCAAAACCCATAAGAAGGGTGGTTATTAAAAATTTGAAATTTGGCTCTGACGAATATACCAGTTAGAAAAAAGGTATAACTTTAAAATTTTTGAGAATGAGTACAACCACACTACCAAGTTTGTTTCTCTCTACATATAACAGCTGTAACAAATGTGTATTTTGAATACTGAGTAAACAACAAATTTTAAGAATTATACCCTTGGATGGCCATTGCTCGAACTGTCTGAGCTAGAATTTGTTGAACGCTTCGAGCGCGTTTCAACAGGCATGTTTTCGCTATAGCGTTAAACTGTCTTAGACACGCCGTAAGGGGCCACACTGCAATCTCACTGCTAATCACAAGAAATAAAAGACGTACTGCAAACTGTTCTAAACGTCATCTAGACTGCAAAATTGAAACAAGTGGTATCTTCCGCGGTACTATAAAGAATAATCACAAAATGCCCATTAGCCTCAGAAACATACGAAGAGGAAAGTAATTTATAGTTCAGCGAATAATAAGAGAACTGAGTCACAGTGAAACATTCCTTGAGTGACACTTCATAATTTAACCAAAAAAATAAAATAAAATAAAAGTCATTAGAAGCCACAGAAACCTAGCGGAAGCAATTTAAAAAATGATTTACTCTACAATTAATTTGAAAAAGAAATCATATTCTAATAATGATATCTCAAACAATCAGTTTTTAAACATGACATAATCCAATTTATACGCCCCTTTTAACTACTCACTATTGAAGCAACTAATATACAATCAAAAAAAGAAAAAAAAACGGAAAACTAACTATGCAAGTTCATAAAGTATAAGTAAATATGCAAGGCCCAAACAAAAAAAGTCTTGTAATGCGAAAAAAGCTTGCTATTCTGTCTCTCAATTCATTACTGTACAATTTTTTTAAAAAATTTCATTAAATCAAAAGAGACTCTTGGAAAAAACATGAGTTATTTGCAAAATCTATACGAAAGACTGTAAATTTTTAAGCGAACATAAGAGATCATTAAAAAAACAATTCCTGACAAAAATAAGTAGACTAGCACTCAGATCCAACAGGTGAGCATGATTTTTCAATAAACCAGGACTAAGAATAAAACTACTGATACTTCATCTTTCCCAATGAATATAATCACAAATCAGTCCTCAAACTGTGTTGGTAAAATGTAAATGCTGAGAGCTTTTTTTTTTGTTTGGCCAAACTCAAAGTCGATTATTATACGTTTTGCGACTATAGAGGTGACACTGGCAGTTCCCGCCACGAATATGCAATTAATTAAACCATGTTAGAAATCTATAAAAACCAACTCTGACAAGCAAAACAATAAAACCAACTTTTCAGGCACGTCAACGGACAGTTAAGCAATGTCTAATGGATAACAGCTGTCAAAGCGTGCTGGAACACCGGCATCGTACGATAACACCAAGACAAACGTCTGGGGGAAGGCGGAGTAACAATAGACTAGAGAGGAAGTGCCGAACCATATCTTCCAGGACGAATCCCGCCGTTTTCTGAAAGTAGTTTTTTTGTTGGCTTCCCGCCAATACCAATACCTCCCTCGTCTGTGGCTTAATAGATGACAACCCCAGCTGTTTGCGACTTCCATGGCGGTAAGGGTGCTTGTAGAGTTCGCTATGAAGATAAGGTTTTGCGTTCCGACTCAGCAGTAAGGAAGTGGTGCTTCGGCTGGCACTGAAGTTAAT